TTGAAGCCGAGTTCCCATGTTAGAGATAGAGGTCAGAAAAAGAGAGAAAACGCTGCGAAAAGAGAGACAGACTGCGTGCGAACGTTTCTTTTTACCTCATTGAGGGGATTTCCTCAATGGCAGTCGAGTAAATAGTCACCTGTGAGAAGGGGGTCATTTTCACAAAAACGAGGGGAAAGCTCGTTTGAAGCAACATCGCAAAGCCGCGTATACGATATTCACTTTGGATTAAGAATTCTCAAGCTTATCTTGGCTTATTGTTTGTACGCGTTACCTCAAAAATAATTTTAATGCGCGACTTCGTGCGAAATGTCCTAATTGCGATAATTGTGCACGACTCAAGTTAACCTTCAAAAACCGTTGGTTTACAGAGATAAACGAATAATCGTACGGTTTCCTAATGAAGATGGACATGATGCGAAAGGTGATTTCACTCTTTCATTCCGCCAAGATCCACAATTTATCAATGTGATGATTAGACTTGCGTGATCCACGAAAGAAACTCGCGAGGTAATGATACGTTAGAGATATATATATATATATATATATAGATATGTATATTGTAAGAAAGAGTGAAATTCTGTATAAATCACGCGTGACCAGAATGAACATTATTTTCATTCAATTCCGTATATTGCATAGTATAAAGACCTAAGACTAATTTATACCCAAGAGTTATAAATTACTCGCTCTAACAAATATCTCTGTCTGACGATTGCAAAGGAAATATTTGTAAAAAATCTTAGCTCCTTTAATTTGTTATCAAAGTTATTGTTATAAAGTTAGCGTATCGCTCTACTGAAGTTGCGGAAAATCTTTTTAGAGTAGGCGAGTAAAGTTAGACTGACAGAGGAGTCAATTGAGAAGGTCGCAACATCACCAATGATATTATCTTATTATAATAGAAATACGATAGAAATATCACGCATACATATGTACGTCATATAATATATTATGAGAGATGTAAAAAGAATTCTCGAGGAAAAATGCTCCGCAGTTTCTTTAATAATCGCAAGATGTCTGGGACTCGCGTGTCATTATCCAAGAATTAATACACAATACGCGCAGGTGTACTAGATGGAAATTAACTTGACGGAGAAAGTTAGTCGCGATGCGTACACACTAACTTTTTCATCATCTTTCGTAGCGCATGTCGCCTGTCGTCGGAGACAGCCCGAATCGGGCTTACAGCGGTAACAGGAAAATAGACGAACGCGAACTCGCGCTTACCGCATGGCCTGTATGTATATACGTGGCGGTTACTTGGGCGACGATGAACCGGTTTTCTAAACCGGGAGAAAATGGCGAATGCAGATGCGATCGAGTGTAATTACTGCGACGGTATAATTTAATATGTCGGTCGACGTCGATTTAATCTATACACGTTCGAATCAACTATATTTAGACATTCCGCGATATTTTCGATGTCTCGCTCGTGAGTCTTTCCCGGCTCGCTAATGATATTATCGAGATAATTATGTTCGTAAGTGTCCTTTATCTCATTAATTCGCATTAAAAAAAAAAAAAATGTTGAATTATTTTGATATTTGAACGCAACGACCGACTCTTTACATTGTAACCATAATCGTGCGGATGTACGGCTGCGTCGCTAAGAGATCGCGGTAAGAAGAAATAATTGCCAAGTGCATTAAGTCTATTAGCGCTTTTGCCGGCCAGGAACCGACAAGTCACTCTCCCTCCCGTCCGTTTTAATTAATTGCCTTTTTAATATTTCGCGAACATCCCCTCGCGGTCATCCTCGTACATCGACCTCTCTCTCTCTTTTCTCTCTCGCGATCTATTTAAATGATATTATAGATAAAAAGGTATCGAAGCGCATTGAAGGATTATCGAGCCTGAGGAAAGTATAATAATCGTGAAAGCGCGACAGCCGACTTCCTTCGTTACTATTAAAGCGGACAAATAAGCGGTTAAAACGAATCATCGATTTCTACCGACCGGTCATCCTCCCGTCTACCTGTTCGCGCATTACGATTGTTAGCGTTTCCGCTATCGAGTTATAAAAAAAGAACGGGAAGCGACGCGTTTCCTCCACCTGTGTTCCGCATGTAGAGCAAAATCACGTCGATTACGTCGTTCGATAAAAACGTATGATTCGTCCTTAACGATGCAGTCAAATAGCGTCAAATAGCGTCGCGAGGCGACTACAAAATTTTTATCAAGCGGATTTTATAGGTTATAAAATCGTATATTATACACACATAGCGCGCATAAAAATTTGATATATATATATATATTTATAGGTTTTAAAATTTTATAAAGCTTCGATACGTTGTTATTTACTTTTTTTTCGATTCTTTATTTTGTGTTGTAATAATTAATTGATATATATAAATTCTAATATTCAGCTAATTATTAAAACATAACGTTGAAAATTGCAAAAATAGATAACAATCGAAACTTGTAAATTTGAATGTATAAAACTACGGGGAAGCACAATTTATTTGTGCATCGAGTCGCGGATGGCACGCGGCTTTCTAAATTTGTATCAAATAACGTCACTTTCACCGGCTGATCGATAAGTTCCGCGTCACAATATACTGTTGGGCCCTGCATGAAAGAGTATACTTGCGATCCAAAAATTGCTCACAAATCTCGAATAAATTGCAAAAGAGATAATATTGTTAATGCCAAGCGAATTTTATTGGTATTTGTGTCATAAGTCAAATGTAGCGATAAGATCTCAAACTTTTTTTAAAGTGCGATTCTACGTAGAAATACCGCGTGATATTCATCATCGTAGTATTAACCCGACGATAGACGCGTGGGTCGTCAACACCGTAGGCTGTTTCTTTCTATCACGGCGAGAAAATGATGAATAACGCTAGATTAGCATCTAAACCCTCGTATTAAAAAAAAAAAAAAGCTTTTAAATCAAATGTATCCAAACGTGAATAATTATAAAGAAAAAATAATTTAATGATTTTACTTATAATTATTTTTTAATTATTAATAATGTTTATTCTTATTCACGTGGACAAAATTTTAACGCGTCAATCAAATCAAATCAAATTATTAGCAGTTTCGATCAAATAACACAAAAATCTAATAATAAAACATGTCGGAAATATATCCGAAAAATTACAAAGTTATTTAGATATCTTTCGCATGCAACTTGAATATTACATTTTTAGAAAATGTGCGTATATAATTCTAAAGAGATTTGATTAGCATATGGATTCTCTGTAAGCGTGAAACTTTTCGTGATAAGAAACATAAAAGACCGAGTTGTTTCGTGTATCGCTGTTTGCGGATTTATATATTTCGCAAACGCGCGACGTTATAAATCAACTCCGATTTAATGGCGTCTATTATATAACATGCCAAAATAACACGCGAAACAGCATTGGTTGTGTTAATGGAAACATGTTCGCACATCACGCAACGAAAGCCCCGTGGAAAGAGACCATCCGTTCAATTTGCATCGCTAATTATTAAATGCGTAATAACGTCTACGCTCATTTTTAGACTAATAATCCAATCGTCGATCGAATTGACAAAGACACTCTTACAAGCAAGGATCAAGCGTCTACGAGTTGTTTATATCAACGTTATATAGCGTTGTTTACGTCAACGTGTTGTTTATCAAGACTTCAATTACGAGCAAATTTTCTCTCTCTGTCTACGAATTTTTCTATATAATAACAATTTAAAGAAGAATCGCAAAGGCTTGCTTAACTTAATTAGAATTGAGTTGACGCAACTAACAATAAAAATGATTTCATTAAATCGAGGCTCAAAATTGTGAGTGTATTGTTTCTCAATTTCTATTCGCACGCATTTATATAATTCATCGAAAAACACACAAAAAAGAAAACAATCTCTCTTTAAGTTAATCATTATCTACACCGCATCATTTTCTCTTGAAAAATTTTCGAGGAATTATGGTTGCGTTTATTAAGATGCCTCGCGTTCATGACGTCGCGATATCAATTACGCAATCTCAGTTAGCTATAAAATCTACCTGTGCTCTTTTCAAACAACAAGCGACTCGAAACTGTTTGCAATTAAATATTTACGACATCTTTTATTACAACTTTGAATCTTACGCGATCCGGTCGTTTAACGCGGCTATATCCTTATTAAAAAAAAAAAAATAAAATAAATATTATTTCGTTACGTTATATTTCGCAGAATCGTGTTATTCGATTGCGGAAACAGGTATACGTTAGTATACACGTAGAATTTACGCGACGACGCGTCGCGAATTAAAAGTGGATTTGGGTCAGACGGAGATGTAGCGGTAGCGCTAAGTCAAGGAATTGCGATCTCTCGCGTTTTACGATCTCTTTCCCGGGGCGCAGAAACGCTCGTTATCGTACGCCTTTCTAAATTCTCGCGTGCGAGAATTCCACAATACGCGTCCATCTTATCTCGGCGTCTCTTACCTTGCGAGAGAGCTTCCCTGTGGTTTTCCTTCGAGTAATATCCACAGACAGGAGAGACACCGATCCTCCTTCACGCGAGAGAGATGCCGCGGGGCGGGCAGGGGGGGGGGGCTGGAAGGAGAGCTATGGCGGGTGGCTGCTGGTTCACCCGAAGCTTGTCCGTGCGCTTGTCAAAACCAACTTATCGATCGCACTTGAATCGCGGTACACGAGGCGTACGATCTCGCCACTCTCAACGAGGAGGATTATCTCACTGCTATCGCTCGAACGTTGGCGTTAGTCGTGAAATCCGAGGCATGCTCGCGCGCGCGAGAGAGAGAGAGAAAAGAGAGGAGAGAGACAGACAGAGAAAGGGAGAGAGGGACGACAAGAACAACCGATCGGGCCGGTTTACCGAAAGGAACTGACCGGGCAGGCAGGGTTGTTTGATACGCGACCGCGTCGTCGGTCGTTTCCGTCGCGACTCGGCTAGATTCGTGTTCGCTCGCCGCTCGGGTCGCGTCGGTCGCCCTCGGATCGACTCGGGTCGACTCGCCGCAACCTCGACGAACTTTTGCGCGCGGGTCGAGGCCGAACGTGAAAAGAGAGAAGAGACGTTTCTTTTGTACAGAGTGTTTCAGGGGAAATAGTAAATATTTTACGAGATTGTGTAGTATCTCGATTATTCTGCAAGATATATGTCCAATTATCAATGGATGCGGAGACACAATCGTTCGAAACTGGCGCGACGAAGCCATCGTAAGAGGTATTTAAGAACGATAAATGACTTATTATTTGTATTTATTGACTAAATTGAATGATACAAAACACACGCAAATAATTTACAAACAATTTACAGTTCATACTAATTGTTCGAAAATCTCATCACCAACCTCAATGTACTTGGCAACTCTTGTGATAAAGGTACGTGTTTTTTAATACCTCTCATATATATAATGGCTTTATATACGGCACACCGTTTCGAACGGCTGTATCTCTGCATCCATTGAAAATTGGACACTTTTTTTTTGTATGAACTCTTTTTTACTGAGAATAATCGATATTACAATCTCCCAAAATAGTTACTATTCTTCCTGAAACACCCTGTATACGGCTGTTACATACCTCCGTCATTCTCGACCTCGCTCGTTAACGCTGCAACAATTCGTCACTCTCTGTTCTTGACGTTAAATGAAGCTGTGGACGAACGGTGGACGGCGTCATTATTGATGAGCGAAGAAAAGCAGAAGCGAATCGTAATCTTTGTGGCACGAGAATCTCGAGCCTTTGTCGAAGACCCGGTAGCCAGCGCGCAAAAATATACGGTATGATACCTTTATTTATGTATATATAGGTACGCGAAGATGGAGCAAGGGATGGAGGGCGAAATCACAGAGAGGATAATCTCGTATTACACTCGAGTACGATATAAGATATTAATTGGTTAATAAATACATCCATCCATTGTCGCGATGGTGCTAAATCAAAATTTTTATTTTTATAAATTTTTATATCATACAATTAAAACGGTGATACAGTCAGTATAAAAAAGTTAATAGTTTGATATAAAAGATAATATTTACGATTTTGAGATTAAATTATATTCGATGGGGCAAATTTTTACTTTAACTCACAAATTAATTATTAATTTTATATTTTAAAAGGCTAAAAGTGCTTTGTGTACATTGTATGCACACACGTGCAATGTCAAATTCATGAATATCTCGAAATATATTAGATTTATTAACTTTTGACGTAGTCGATCCGTCTAGTTCCTCCTTAAATTATGACCAGGAAGATAGTTGCCGCATTTTCTCTTTCTCTTTCTCTCTCTCTTTTCTCCTTTCTCGTTCTCTTCCTTCGCATCATCCGAATCTTTTGTTTCAGATCCCGGCTCTTGTTCCTTTCCTAAATGCGCGACACGCACGTTTCTCTCTTCCCTCCAGACTGGAAATGAGAAATGCCGAGAGCAAGGTTTGTTTTGTCGCCTTCGAATGAACGGAAAACATGACTGCGCAGAGAATTGACAAAAATTCGAGATCAAGCAATTAAGGGGTGAGTCTGTATTTTAAATATATTTTTAAAATGGAATAATATTCAAACGTTGCTTCAAAATCTGAATGGCAACGATTCTTAGTCTCTTGTACTAGAAGGAAAGCAATAGTACAAATTATCCCTTGCTATATCGGATAAGATATTTATTATCTTATAAACACTGATAAAGTAAATTTTTTTATTATTCAATTGTTCATGTTTAGAGAATTATCTCTATTTAATTTCAAAGTACACAATTCTTTTTATATATTAAAAAAGAATGTTATTTATTATTGCGGTTAAAAAATTCTTCTCGACATAGCGAAAATTTTGAACAACAAATTGGTTAGACAATGCTAATGGAGATAAAATCTGAACAAACATTATTTCTTTTATAGAGGCCTTAAATTGCATAGAACGATTTATGATAACAGTCACAGATATCGACGAGAGTTTTAAAGGTCTATTGTTAAACTGATTAAATTAGCGATATGTGATATGATAAGCATTTAATGCATATTTTGGCTATTACTCACTGGTATGGTAGAGAATGATGTAGCGGTTATATTTAACATCCCACGATGAAGAAACATTTTATTTTAATCTGCTGAATCATATTCTGGTAATTTTTCGTCTCCACGTTTCTCTTCATTGAATTACGCTTATACCGACCGACTACTAGCCCATCGCAGGCCTCTCGTTCGATACGTATCAAATATATTTGACATTCCGAGCATTTGTGCTCGTTGCACCTCGCATTTTAATTTCGGGTAAAAAAAAGAGACTATTACGAGTTGCCCCCTCCCGGACAGGCTTTACGCCATCCGCATAGCAATTCGCATAACTCGTGTTTTCGAAACTGAACTTTCTATCGATTCGCGTTTAGGGAACGATCCGCGTGTTCGCCAGACCGCGAAAAATTTCGATCGGAAAGAAGAAAGTCAACGAAAGTGATCTTCATCGACTTCCGTACCATCGGTTCATTCCTATTCTCGTCGCGTGTTGTTCGACGAAAGTGATACTGTAAATACATTCCCGGTTCTCGGCAAGCATCACAAAATCTGCTTATTCACGGAATAGTCATGGTAGAAAAGATGACTTTACCTTATTTTTTTCGTTAAAAAATCTATGGTAGAAAGTGTCGAAAAATATCTCGACGAGTTACGATTAGTTTGATCGTTATTGATCCTTATTCCTGAAACATTTATTGCATTGCTTATCACGTATCGATTAATATAATAGCACTTTGTGTTATCTCGACTCGAAACAGATCCTCGGCGCAAGAAACTACGCGCATGATTTATATGTATCGATTTTTTTATTTATTTTTTTAGAATGTAATAAAAAAATATTTCTGAGATATACGCTTTAGATATTAAATAAAGATAGATAAATCTGATGAAAAGAGAAAAGAAAGAATGTTAAATAATATATAAATGTTATTTCACCGTCATAGTATTTAATGCAACATATTTTTTAAGAAATTTACAGATGACTTTCAATCAATATATAACAATGTTATAAATTAATCGTGAAAGAAGTGACTTCTGCGATTAATGGACTTAGTCTACTCTAGCAGTATAAAAAATTGATGATTTTCAGGAATTTTTTTTTTCAAGGGTATTAAAAATTGATCTTTTTTAGCGTTTTACATATATTTTTATTGATGTGTGTCAGAACAGTATGTCAGAATTTTTAAATCTTGGATATTTAGTTTTTTTTTCTTTATTTAATACGAGCCTCTGCACGCAGCGTGTTCAAAAACGACGGTGTGACATGCTGCTCCTCGTGTAATTGTCTGAAATGAAAGAACTCGGTCTAGTTTTATTCAATAAGATATTTTTAGAAGTTAAGCTAATTACAATTTAAAAAATTAATATTTATTATTTTTCTTACTTTCAAGAAATAAAAAAATTTCGGCGAAATTGAAATATCTAACTTTAAAATGACACTACTTTGTTACTTATCAATCTTTTTAATGAAATTAGTATCTCAGTATCTTCAGTATCTCAAAAATATCCTCAAAAATATCCATCGAACCATGCTACGCGCAAAGGCTCATATTGAACAAAAAAAGCTAAATATTTAAGATTTAAAAATATTGACGTACTCTTTAAATATCAATAAAAACATGTAAAACGCCAAAAAAATCAATTTCTAATATTCTTTACAAAAAATTTTTTAAAATCAGCAATTTTTTTATACTGCTAGTAGACTGAGCCCTTAATCTCGATTGCTAATCGAAAAATTTATTTCCCTTTCTTCAAAGTTTTCAAATCTTGATTGAACACATACACACATTATATACATTCGCACCTGAAGGCTTGAAACGACAGTACAAACGACTGTAGAAATGACAGTAGGGTTATTATAAAGTAATGATCGTATACGGAATTTATACGAACACGACGCGCCATGTAATAACGCGCCTCAACTTCTCCCTCGCCTACTAATCTAAATCTCGAAACGCGACATTCTCGGATGAGTTCCACCTGCGTTGATGTATGCGCGCGGTGGATTAGTCATGCGGCCTCCGAGAGTGCGTCAAAATAGAACGCTTAGTCAGACGTCACCAGGAACTGCATCGAGGGAGTCACCGGCCCGTTGCAGCCTCCACCCCATAACCATTTTACTTTGTTACGCTTTATGTGTTTATTCGACATTTCACAAAGATCTATAGGATACAAAGACTGAGATTGTGTCGGGTAGTTATCGGGAAAGTTTCAGTTTTACGGGACGCATTTATAATGTATCTTTCAATCATATAGATCGCGTTAAAGCGGCATGATTCTGTAAAATTATGCTTTAAATTCTGCAAAGTATTTATGATTTTTTCTAAGTTACAGTGGAAATTTTGCATTCCTTGAATTCTCAAGTTTTAAAAACTATATATCTTTACAGAGTAAAAAATTTAGCAAAGCATGGTTTTGATTTATAAAATTTGTCGGTTCAACATGCTTTTATTGATAGCATATTGCATTTTTAAATGGGACGTATATAAGTAAAAGAATTTTTTTTTAATCAGTAATTGATTATTTTATTGAAAGAAGTTATAAATCTTTTTTGTTATAATTCATAGCTACAATAATTTTTATTTTTATTTGTCTTTTTATGCGGAACGATTAAAAATTTGTAGACATGAAAGCTTTCTGGATAACGTTAATAGTAGCGGTAATTGCATGTCATGATGGTTGGCATGTATGTAGGAGAGCTAGTTTAAGATCTCAGATCTTAAAAGGGAAGCACGCACCTGGATTACACGGGATGTTTATTTGTATTTGCAAAGCGGCTTCGATCGATGGGCAATCTGTTGCTGTAGAGACTCAATTGTAAATTGCGGAAATATTTTTGAAGCACAAAGAGATCTGAGATATCAATTTAACATAAAAAATAAAAAATTGGCGCATTTAAAATATTGTAAAAATATTTAATTAAAATTTCTCTTTGCTCGTGCGCTGTGTAATGCTATTATAATGTTTTATTACAACGTAGTAGCAGCATAAAATTCTATAATAATTATGATAGCAAATATAATAATAATAAATACTAAAACAGTATATATTATTCAGGTAGTATTTCCATTATTATTATTCACATCGAACGTGTCTTTATCCAGCAATTAAATATATCATCTCTCAATTTAATATTCGAATCAGATGTAATCGATTGAGGAGTCCTTGAATAACACGTGGGTGGATAGTTTTATTGACGAAGGAAGTTCTTGGCGATGGCGCAAACCTTCTTGCCACAAAGACGCGTAATAGAAGTAAATTCGCATATGTTAAAGGAAATGCTGTTGCGTACGCGTTCGATTGCGTTGATATTCCACTTTGGAAACTAGATGCGAATGAGTGCCGTGAATTCACGCGCCTTATAAGTCGTCACCATTGTGTTACAATGATGGTTGCATGCACGACGTCGACCATTCGCTTTCTATCTTGTCTCTTTTCGTTTCTATTTACGTATGATTTATGCGACATCGTGCGCTGTTGTACACAACATCGTGTCATTCGCATACCAAAAAATACCTTTGCATATATAAGAGCATTGAAAACGTCGCACGTGATCAGCTGTGATAAAATTTGAATGAGCTCGCGAATAAAATGCACGAAAATGCCAACTAAATTGATCGTACTGTATATTCGACCGGTTAATCGAAAATTAACGGGAAGAGAAAAAGGGAAAGCATAATTAAGAAATTCATTTATATAGTAATAGCAATCATGAGATAAGAGTAGAGAAATGTCAGTTACGTGAGCAGCTGTCAGTCAATTTCATCAATGTTGGATAACTCTAATTGTGACTTTGATTCCTCTTATATACCGCTAATTCTAGCCTTAGGAAGAGGCGAGGACTTAGTTGAATTAAAGTTAGAAATAAAATTAATCTTATATTGGCGATCTTAAGCAAGAAAAGACGGTATACCGATCAGGGCTTGCGGTGGGCTTTACGATACCGAATTTACGTCCGTGAACTCGGATGAACCTCTGAACTCTCGCGTCGTCTCGATTCCCTCACGAAGAGCAACAATGATGAAGGAATATGGGCATCCTTGGCCATTTGTGCGTGTTGCGTGCACGGCATCATGCGACCGCTATCAAGATTACGGGACTTTAGAACATTAGGTATCGTGTCATTCCTTTTCCATGAATCGTCGAAATTTCGCGATAGCAATTTTACGCGATACAAAATATTTCGATATCAAGTAAATATAAAACTCACAAATGAAAGAGAGAGAGAGAGAGAGAGAGAGAGAGAGAAAACCTAATATTCTAAATATATTGTAAAATCTTTTGAATATATGCTAGTAATAATTTATAAACATTTTTCTCTAAGTTTAACCACATTAGCTTTATTAGGCTACGTATTATTTAATTTTACGTGTTTCTCAGATCTATATCTCAAAATTTTTCCACAATTATTTTGACAAAGCAAAAAAATAATCTAGCAGAACGTGGTTTCGATCCACGGACCTCTGGGTTATGGGCCCAGCACGCTTCCACTGCGCCACTCTGCTGATGAGTGCCACCCCTGCATGGGGTAAATAAGTGGAAGCAGTTTTTTTTTTCATCTACAATTCACTATTTTTTTTTTAAGTAAATAACAATTATTTTAATAAAAAAAATTGTCGTGTCGGATGCAATAATACTATAAACGCGATCGGGACCTTGAAAGTAATCGATTTTTTTAAAGAAATACAAGGTTCTTTATTAAGCACCTTAAGTTACTCTGTTGTAGGGATGCATTCAACAAGCAGAGTGGCGCAGTGGAAGCGTGCTGGGCCCATAACCCAGAGGTCCGTGGATCGAAACCACGCTCTGCTAGATTGTTTTTTTTTTGGTCTTTATAGATATATATTTTTGAACAAAGTATAAGAAAATATTTAGTATTTTATGTTCTCATAACTCTGAATTTCATAAGAATTATCCGTAATACATTAAATATTATTTTATAAAGAAGTCACGAACTATCTTTTTCTATCATTTATTTTGTTGAAAATCTATGTTTTTATTAAAATTATTTTTTATGTGCATATATTAATTTATCATTATGCGAATCCTCAATAGTAATACCATTTGTTATTACGATTATGGCGATTGAGTGATTTCTGAATTAATTGTTAAGATAAATTATTATAATTTAAAATTAAAATCTTTAAAATAATTTATAATATTCACCAATATACACAAGAGCAAAGTAGTTCAACGTTATGTGTATTTATAAAATACAAATATATTTAAATTATATATATAAACCACAATTCAATTTGTCCTCAAGCAGATATTTGATAAAAAAGATTGCGTAATTTATGAAAAAGAAACATCTTTTAATATAAAAATTTATTAATTTTATAAATAAAAATTATATAATAAATAAATTATAAATTGTTCACCCCATGGTTGCTTTGTCATCGCCTTCTCTTTTTCTTGAGTTCATCTTTGATTGTTTCTTCACTCACTCGCAAAAACATAGTTAATTATAACTGCATTAATCAGTAGAATACGATGATTGTGCCTTTTTAGTAATTGCTTGCGATGCGTATTTTATTATATGGCAGTGGTAGAACAAATGCGAAAATTACGATGCACTGTAGCAATTCCACGGGCTGTTAATCGCTTGTAATAGTAATAGGGAATGATCGCATTTCGAAAAACACGCTATCTACTCGCTCGGATGTCGTCGTATGAATCATTTTAACTCTACGGCATGTAAACAATAATGGGTCATAAGGATAAACACCGTATATTGTACGATACAACTATCTTAATTATGAAATTAAAATTTAATATAGCAAGCATGACATATTATCATAAATCCCGTGAAATATATATATATATATATATTCATAATTAATAAACGATATATCAACAATAAATATACATATAATGCGATACGCCTTTTTGTTACTTTGATCAAATAATTTCCGACACACGATACTCTTATATACGTTTATCGCAAAAGTAATAATTAATTTCATGGACTGATAATTATAATAATTGCTATATTAGGTAACAATAATAACTACTTACAATAATTGTACAAAATAATCGCATTACAAAGAAAGTAATATACGATGATACGCAGCAACTCTCGCAGATATATTACTCGCTGGAGTCTCGCCGCACGAATGACAGCAAAGGCTACAGCATGTAAACAATAAGGTGCTATATGTCAGAAGGTCGAACGCCGTATACCGTGTGACAACTAAATCGTTATTATCGTGAAATATTTAACACGCTACAAAATAAAAACGTGCAGAATATTTTTTTGGTCCTTGAGTTTTAAATTAATTATTAATAAACAGTTGATTAATTTTCTTTCGTCAATCCTACCACTTAATTAATTGCACGAGCTGATAATCTTTAAGTATATATGTATATATAAAAAATAATCGCGTTTAGCGTTCCTTCGCGTATTATCTAGCTTGATTCACATCATTTTGCACGTCATCAAGATAAAGCCGATGTCATTTTCGAGTATTAAGCGGATCATAGTTTTCGTATTTATTCTTTTATCGTAATATAATAAAATGTGCGTCACATACCCACAGTTACTTATATAGAAATCTTACGGTAATAAGTATACATAAATAATGATTTTTTGTTTGACCAATTCCATGCTCCCAAAATTAAGCGTATGTGTATTAACGGTAAAGTCATCTAGAATTCTCATATGGTGGAAGATTTAGATTATTTTTTTTATGATACATACACATAGGAACATTTTCTAATATTAGAGAAACATGCATATACAAATCGGCGACGATGTCGAGACTGACCTTGTTGAATCGTCCGTATTTATGCGTCCGATTTCGCGACTTTGAAGTCATTCTGGTTGCAAAGCGACTGAAGATATCCTGCTTTTTTATCGACATGACATTTGAGATGAAACAAGAGCAGTTTGGCGGATAGTTGGGTTTTATCTCACAATCTTATGGCTCTCAAGTTAAATTTTCTCTTATTAATACACCGGCTTATATTGCTATCACCTTGAATGCGAAAACGATGGAAACTATATGTTTCGCTTTGATGTTTAATGTTTCTGAAATGTGTCAATAATATTCAGACACTCAAATCATACTGTGTTATTTATGAAAATTGCTAAAAATATTTATAACTTAAATATCAGAAAAGATGATTAAAACATCTAAAAAATGCCTGAAAATTCGAATAAATAGAATACTTTCCAGACTTTTACTTTGCAAGGTGCACTGCTTCATGTTTTATTTGCGTTTATTTTTATTCCATCCAGTACAGAACAGATCTTTTAAATAGCAGGTTTCACAATTTTTATCTTTTTTTTTAATTCTCTAGAAATCTTTTCATTTTACTTTCTTGTTTAACAATTGAATGCATTAAATTTATGTTTTCAACAATTAATATATAATACTATTTGAAAAGAAATGATAATATACATAAAATTCTACTTTTTTGTAAAATAATTTATATATATATAATTTTTATATCAACCTTTTAAACATTTTATTAGAAATTAGGTTATACTTTACAAATAATAGATATCGAAGAAACATGGAATCACGACAAGATGCATATAAAACCTTCATCTAGCCGCTATCTAATTTGCGATTGTAAGTACGACATAAGTACGATAAAAATCACACACTTTCTCTCCATTACAGCTGCATTAACCAAAGTAATACGAGATTCTTATTTATTTCTATGTAAAGTCATCATAATATTCTTCGTGTATAGTTTTTGCACATTAAACTTTAGCGATGAAAATAAATAATGAAATTTTACTTTTTATTTAATCTCAAACAACAATTTTCGATAGAAATTTAATCTTTGAAAAATTATATTGAAAATTAAAGAATTGTTAAAAATATAGCATTTAATCGAATTTTTATAAGAAAGAGTGGTGTGTATGTTTCGACGTCCTTTAAACAATTTGTAACGAGAAATATACTTTTGTGATATTCATACCGTATATGTTTTGTGTCTGCGATCATACACTATTTATTCGGATTATATATTGAAAGTTCGGTTCCACCCGCACGTGTTTCGCGGTTAGTAACGGCGATTTACGATACACCCGGAATGTGCGGTCGAGGACATTGTATTGTCAAGGAGGCTACTCGCGTGGTCTTATTAACATTCTACGTGGGGCTGACATATCGACGATTTTGTCGTCGCGCGATCTTTCCAGCACATTTACCGCGCGATAACCGCTC